AACAAAACAAAAATAAAAAAAAACTTACGAAAAATAATAAAAACAAGTCAAAATCAATAGTGTTTATTCTTATCTTATAAAGGGCAAAAGTTTCTTACACAAGGCATATTGAATTAAAATTTGAAATTTATTTTGAAATCAATATATGTGGCGCACATATCGATAACAAATAACGTAAGCGCGAAGTGGTGCAACTGATAGTACAGAAGAACTTGGTGTCAAGTATCGATAGATAATTCAGTCAATTGCCGCATCACTATTGCGGAGCAGCTGATCGACGATAAGGTTTGCACTGGTTTATTTACGTGCTTAAGAGTCAACGGCTTATATTAAATTATACAATATAATGGCACTAATACCGCCGGTAACACGCCTTAGCGCCTCCATAATACGCATTCTCGGCTGCAATCCCAGTCCGATGACGCTGCAAGGAACAAACACCTATTTACTGGGCAATGGCAAAAAGTGCGATTTGAATTTTCTGCCCGATCCAAAGTTCAATTTATTTCTCTTCTCAGGCGAATTCTTATTGACACCGGTGATGAAGATGTACCGCAGTATATAGATCATTTAAAGGGTGTGCTGCGGGAGGAGCAGGCAACAATCAGCAAAATTATCCTCACGCACTGGCACCACGATCATGTGGGCGGGGTCAAGGACATTGTGGGCAACAAGCAACTGGCGGACAAAGGTGCGAAACACCTGCATAATTGATGCTATTTTATTTAAATGTGTGTGTCCTTGTGCGTTTTTATTAACTGTAGTGCCCATCAATACAGATTGTGAGGTGTACAAGTTTCCGCGCAGTCTGGAGGACTCGAGCGATGATTCCTGCAAGGAAATACCCGCTCACATATCTGTGCAGCAGCTCAAGGATAATCAGGAGCTGTCCGTCGCTGGTGCCAAAGTGCGCATAGTGCACACACCTGGCCATACAACGGATCACGTGGTGCTGACCATGGACGATGGCACACTCTTCAGCGGCGACTGCATACTGGGTGAGTGAGAGATCTGCATCCTCCAGGGTCTCCACTGAAATGTGTTGTATGCTTCGCAGGCGAGGGTACCGCCGTCTTCGAGGACCTCTTCGACTATATGCAGAGCCTGCAGAAGATACTGAATATCGCACCATCCATCATATATCCCGCTCACGGCAATATCATACCAGATCCTGTTGAGAAGATTCAATTTTATATCAATCATCGCAATCAGCGTGAAGAGCAGATTCTGAACTTCTTCAGCCAACGGCCGGGCAAGGCGTGGCAGGCTCTGGATGTGGTCAAGGTCGTCTATAAGGAGACACCCGAGCAACTCTGGCCAGCTGCTGCCTACAATGTCAGCCATCACCTGAGCAAGCTGCTCAAGGAGCACAAGCTGAGGCTCAACGGCGAGCAGAGTGGCGAGAAGTTGTACGAGTACCAGCCTAACAGTGCGCTCTGAGCTGCACTTAACAGCACTGTTAACCTAACATTATGTATCTGCTATATTTTGTATATATGTTGATCTGTTAATTATATATGAATGAAAATGTAGCTATGTATATTTGTTTTGGATATTTTTTATATATTTGCGTTGGTCACTCCTGTAGTCATTAGAGTAGAATATCTATTAGGATCGAGATGAATCCTGATTCAACAGCTGTTAATAACATGGGACACTTCGATACGTTGCTTAACGGCATGTTAGGCAAATGAATATTATATTTCACATATTATTCCACTAGTTCCTATTTATTCTATACATTAGCATTTACATAAAGCCGACTATGAGCTAMGTTTCCACTAACTAGCGCTTGCCCTTGCCCTTGCCTTTGCCACCTTTGCTGCCCTTCTCGCGCCGCTTCTTGGCCACAATGGAGCGCTTGTCCTTCTTTTCGCGCGGATCGACGACACGATAGCGTCCCTTGACGCCAGGCGGACGACGTGCACGACGCGAGGCTGTGTGCTTCTTGGCCACCACATAGGTGATCTCCTTCTTCTTCTCCTGCGCCTTCTTGTAGATCTTCTTCAGCTGCTTGGCCTTCTCCTGGGAGGTGGCGTCTGCATTCTCCATGATCTTTTCGGCCATCTTTTTGGCCTTCGCCAGGCGCTTGGTGGCGCGACGCTTCTTGCGCGCCTTCGCCTCCATCACCTTCTTGATGGGTCGCACATTCAGCTCCTGCACCTTCCGTTGGTACTCCTCCGTCAGCTCCTTGGGCACCGGGTGCGGCTTCGTCATATGCTCGGCCTCATCCTGCACAAACCAAGCGGGCAAGTTCTCATCATTGAACGCATAACGATTCCAGGCAGCATCCACCAATTCGCGTCGCGTCTTCTTGCCACGCACGAGCAGAGCACCCAGAGCCAGTTCCTCCTCGGACAGGCGAATTTTCTTTGCCTTTGGTGCTAGAAACGGGAATTCAAGAATGGATAATTTAGTATATAATCAATGAATAAATTTAAAGATGCATTTTATCTCTCTGTCCCTTTACCTTCATCAGATACATATATGATGTCCTATCTAGGCTGTAGGAGCTTCCTTGTTACACCTGCTGGCCTGGACATATATAACGCTATGTCTGCCTTTACATGTAGTCGATTATTTTTAAGCGTGTATTATATCTCTTTATCTTTATATAAAACATTTCAATCACTCTCAATTTTCGTCGAGTTGTTAATCATTGATATGGCTATCTCTTTCCCTTCTTTAGCATATATCTCTATCTCTTTCTTTTCTATTTTCTGAACTTTCATAATCTTAGTCCACAGACAGAAATCCTTCGCATTTTAATCTTTAAGTTTTACAATCGTCCCACCTTTTTCTTCTCTCTCTATCTCTATCTATGGGATTTCTATCTGCTCTGACAGCTACAACTTTACTCTAACCATTTACCATTTTTATTTTTATTTTCTAGTCCAAGTCCCTCATCTCACCTTTAGCCATGTCTCCCGCCACATTATCCTCATCCACTTCCTGCTCCGAGTCCGAGTCAGATGACTCCGAACTGCTCTCCTCCTTCTGCACATCGTGCCTGGCACGCCGTTTGGCCTTTTTGCCAAGGGCTAGGGTGCCGGCATCTCCATCCGTGGACGGGCGGTTCTCGCCGAGCACAGCGACTCCTTTGGCCTTGTACGCCTTGGCCAGATTATCCAAGTCAAAGTTCTCCTCATCGTCGTCGTCCTCGTTGCCAATATTCTGCAGAGTGTCCTTTTCATACCAGAGAGCGACACGCTGTTGTCGCCGCGTGTCCTTGTCCCGGAAATCCCCCGACTTGATCAAAGGATGCTCGGTTCGCTGTTTCTTCTTCTTGCCTTTTGTATTGGACGACGCGTGATCCTCATCGTCGTCGTCGCTGAGTCCGAGTCCCTGCTGATCGTAGTCGCTGTCGCTGTCCTCATCTTGGCTCAGCTCCGGCTCGTCCTCGTTCTCGTAGTTGGCATCGTCGTCCATGCGTTTGTCATCCTTGTCGTATTTCTTGTATTTGGGCAATTTGGGATGCTCGACGGGCTCGCCCTCCACATCGAAATCGGGCTGAACGTCGAGCATGTTGTTCAGCTCGCTAATGCTGTCGATGCCCTTTAGATCGAAGATCTCCTGCTCGCCTTCTTCGACTGGACCGTCATCGCCCTTGATGACCATGTTGAGGTTCATCTTTTCGTGGAGTTTCGCCTTCGCCTTGAGCGTCTTCTTGCGTTTGCGCTTCAGCTCCTTTTGCTCCTCCTCGGCGAGGGTTTCAATTTGTTGCTGCAGCTCGGCATCCTCCATATCTTCGACCTGCTCTTGGGTCAACGGAGCTGGCTGCTTGTCTGTCTCTGGCTCCTCGATGACGCCTTCTGGTTCCGTTTTGTACAGCTCCTCCTTGATGTGTTTCCACCAAAGCAGCAGGCCCTTGATGTCCTTGCGACCGAGTACCTTCAGATCCTTGCAGCACTCCAAGATCTCGGTCGTCGTCCTCTTGTGCTTGGCGATGCGCTCATCATCGATGCGAATGGAACCGATGCCCTGGAGGGCAGCCAACGCATTCTCCGCCTTCATGAACTCCGAGGCAGCCAGATCGTTGCGCAAGGCAATGTCTTGCTCCGTGTAGCCCTCGGCCTTGACGCGCTTCTGTTTCTCTGGATGCAGCAAACTATTCTTCTGTTTGCCTTCCAGGTCCAGCTCCTCGAACACATATTTTGCATCCAACAAACGGGGATCGATGCGATCCGGTGCCAAGTAGCCCTGGCAGACGACGAAGATTTCGGCGGATTCCTTACGCGAGGCACTGGGCTTGGTGGCGTGCACCTTCTTGAAGAGCTGCTTGAGTACCCAGAGCAGGGCATTGTAATCCTTAGAGCGGAAAACCTTCGTTACGAACCAACCGCCGCCACGGAGGAACTGCGTGCCCAGCTTTAGGGCATTCAATGTGAGACAGATCTGCTGGTATGCATCGTAGAGCCAATTGCGTCCAACATTTGGCGCACCATCGTGCAGCACTACATCAGCTTTCCACGACTGCAGCTCCTTTGTCAGGGACTGGCGGCATTTCTCTGTGGTAATGTCCTCGACGAGGCCAATGCAGCCGGCAATTGGACGTATTGGGAATAGATCGACGCCGATGACAATGCTGGAGACAGGCATATTCTGTTTGGCCACCTGCATCCAGCCGCCAGGTGCGGCGCATAGATCGATGCATACCTGCGACTGTTGTAGGAAACCAAATTTGCGGTTCAATTGGATGAGCTTGAAGGCGGCACGCGAGCGGAAGCCAGTCTCTTTGGCCAACTGGTAGAATTTATCTTTGCGCGTCTTTCCTACTTTTGTTTTCTTGCCCATTTTGTTGCTGTTGTCAACGAAAACTCAACCGAAAATGGAAAAAGAAACAGAACACGCCGCAGTAGCGCGTTGCACGTGTTTAAAGTTTTTTGGAAGGGTGCCTGCGTTGCCAGATGTTCGCAATGCGGCCACAAAAAAAAACAAGCTATCGATATACAAAGCTGGCGTGTAAGCATCGTTAGTTGTTCAATTAAAAATATTGTATTTGGAAACAACAAAATATTGAATCATTTAAATACGCAAGATTAATACACTAAGTCAAGTGTAATAATCAAATCATATTTATAATTGATAATGGAGCACGTTAAACTGGTGATAATTGAACTGGCTACACTACTTCTGGCAGCACTCTGTTCATTTATTGCTCATACCTATCGATACCTTTTGCTCTTTGGCTACTCATCACTAAGCTCGAACCGTGTGCCGCATAATTGTTATTTATGTATTTAAGTTGAATTTTTGTATTAAAAAATTATATAATTAACATGCTGCGCACTGTTCTAAGCGATTTGGCTCGCCTACGGTATATAAAAATCATAATATATTCCTAGATGTCTTATAGATATTAGTTTTCTCTGATAAAAACAGGCTGAACGGATCTGTCTGCTCTGTTACACAAGTCCGCGAGAAGGGACACCTGAATCGGCCGCGTTTAAGGAATCCCTATTGGTTCATACGACAACAGCGCTCAGTAAGCCATCTAATCTAATTTAGTCGACAACTGGTCAACCAATGTCAACTCCTTACAGCAAACGGATGATCAAGTGACTGGCGAAAATCGCAGTTTCATCAAAGAAGTGATCCATGATACCTACGGCACTCCGGCTTTAATTAAAGGCGTACAAACCTACGAACAGAAGCAGTTGATCAAAACGAATGAATTGCCTGTACCTACCGAGCCTTGGACACCGGCCGTTCGTCGTTGCGGGGTGATTGCTCGTAAGATTGGCCAATATCCGCTTTGGCTGAAGAATGGAGAACGCATTCGTACTACGCTCCTGCAGGTGGTGGACAACCATGTGATTAAATATATACCCCCAGAGGAATATAAGCCCACACAGAGGCCCAATGTACATAACTTGAATCGCTATGGCTGCGCCTTGGTTGGAGCGGAGAGCACAAATCCTGCCCAGCTGACCAAAGAGTATTGTGGAATCTTTCGCGATTCAGGCGTGATGCCCACCAAGAATCTAGCTCGTTTCATAGTTTCGCCCCAGGCGGCTCTAGCGCCTGGTACACCACTGAACGTGGGACACTTCCGCGTGGGCGAGTTTGTCGATGTTCGCGGCAAGACGTGAGTGACGAGAGGAGAGGAGTGTCAGAGAAGAGTGTCATGTAGCTTAATCTAACCCGCATTCTTTGCAGTGTATATCATGGATTCCAGGGCGTGGTCAAGCGACATGGATTCAAGGGCATGCCCGCCTCGCATGGTGTGACAAAGACGCATCGCCGTCCCGGCAACATTGGCGGCGGTGGCGAAAAGGGACGCGTCTGGCCGGGCACCAAGCTGCCCGGTCACATGGGCAACCGTTGGCGCATCAGCAAAGGTCTGCGCATCTGGCGCATCAATACCAAATACAATGTGATGTGGGTGCAGGGCAGCGCAGTGCCTGGCTCCACAAACGGCCTGGTCTACATCTACGATACGATCCTGCCATTGCGCAAGCCCCAAGCTGCGCCGCCTATGCCCACGCTCTATGAGCAGCCAGAGGATGAGGCGCCCGACGACATTTGGTATGAGCAAGTGCACAATTTCAAGGACGAGTCCATCACCTATAAGCCGGAGTAAATCGCAATTAGCTTTTATATTCAGTTCCCATCTTTCTTTCTGTTATGCCGTACATTGTATAGAGCTCTGTGCAAAGTATCCTAGATAAAGTTATGTAAACTAAACAAATCGAGTTTGTTGTTATAATTGATTCTAGGAATAAAGCTAGTTTATAATATTGCTATTCGAAGTTTGTATTCGGAATTGAAGTGAAAATGCAAAATACGCGTGTGTGCATGCCTATTAGAGATCTATTAACATTTGTAGCTTCCTCGTATAGATCAACTCAGTTCCTTATACTCTCGTTCATGCAATACTGGAGAGTATATTGGTTTTGTATATTTGGTTCCCTCTCTGTGTTGAAAATTTTATTTAAATTTAAATTTTATATAATTTTTATATACAGTGGAATCATGCTATAACGACTCCGCTCATAATGTCCGTCTGGTTATCGCGAAAGAAAGAAAGAAAGAAAGTGCAATGCCGACGTCACACAAATGTTTCTATACCAAGGTATAACCAGTTTTATTTCTAGTTTTTTTTTCAGGTTTTTTCCATGTCAAATTTAATGCGCACATGAATATCAAATTAAAGATAATGCTCGTTAATATGATCATTAAGTTCAAATTCGATACTACAGCAGAAAAATTATCGAGAGCGCAATTCAATATTTTCGATATTTTGAGTGCAAGAATGTGATACAATCGATAGTATTGTTTTTGTTTATTTTGTTTTTCTTTCTACTATATTTTTTGAGATTGAGGTAGCTTTTACTCAGAAATTACAAAATAAAATGTTAAATAAGAACATTTCAACAAATATGCGAATATATGGACTAATACGCGTGATTTTCCTATCGCTTACGACTATTGATATGTGTGATTTGTCTATAGTTTACGACTATCGATAGGGATAAACAACTATCGTTAGTGGCGCTGAAGCTTCCCAGCTCTACACGACACTTGGGAATTAGAAAAATGCAAAATGGCTTTAAAACGAAAGTGTTTCACCGTTGAAGAAAAAATGCAAATAATTCGCCGCCTGGAAGCCGGTGAACGCAACGTAGCCCTGGCGAAGGAATTCTGCGTGTGCCACACAACAATTGCCACAATAAAAAAGAATAAGGAACAAATTAGAGCTTTGTTTAACAGTAATGTCCTAAAATCAAAACGTGTCAGAGCGTCGACACAAGATCAAGTCGACAAGGCATTGTTCCAGTGGTTTAAAATGCAACGCAGTCGAGGAATCTCATTAAACGGTCCACTGCTTCAGCAAAAAGCGAATTTTTTCGCTAAACAATTTAAGATTAAAGACTTCAATTGTTCTGGCAGCTGGATAAGCCGCTTCAAGGTGCGGCATAATATCCTCTCCGGCACAGCCAGCACAGAATCTTTGCCTGAAAAAAAATGCGATGCAAAAGAGTGGCTAACGCAGATTTGGCCTGCACTACGCAAGGATTACAGTGATGATGACATTTTTAGTGCCAACGAAACTGGACTGCTCTACAAATTAACTCCAGATAAAACGTTAAATATGAAAGGTGGGAAGCGCGATCACGCGATGAAGAGATCTGTTTATTGACATTTCAATTTATAGGTGAAAAATGCGCTGGCGGGGAGCTATCCAAGGAAAGGATTACCTTGCTTCTTGCAGCCAATATGAGTGGCACTCTAAAAAGGAAATTATTGGTTATTGGAACATCAAAGCGACCTAGGTCCTTCAAAAATGTTCAGTTGTTGCCTGTTGGCTACTATAGCAATCGCCAGGCATGGATGACGTCTGAAATTTTTACTAGTTGGGTACGCGATTGGAATGCTGAGCTTAAACAGCGGGAAAAGAAAATATTGCTATTAATTGATGATTGTCCAGCCCATCCCATCATAAGTTATCTAACGAATATCACTCTAGTCTTCCTGCCACCAAGTACAAATACGAAATCAATATTACAACCGATGGATCAAGGTGTAATCCGCGTGATCAAATCCACTTATCGCAAAAATCTTATACTCAAAATAATCAGCGATATGGAAAACAGCATCGATGAAAATTACCCGAAAATTAGCATTCTAGATGCCATTTTAATGCTAAATGATGCATGGCAGCAACTCTCGCCAGAGACAATTGCGAAATGTTTTAGGCAGTCTGGGCTTGCCAAAACGAATTTAGATGTTCCACGCGATGATATTGAAATCGAAGATGACATTCCTCTATCGGTTTGGGCCACAGCTCTAAGAATTCAGCTGCCGATTTCAAAGGAAGTGCTGGATGAATATGTTCTCATTGACAATGGGTTGGCGATTTGTGGGGAACCTTCTGAAGACAATATTGTTAAAAATATATTAGACGACGATCAGGATAGCGACGACAGCGTCGAAGATCAAAGTGAAGATCTGACAGCACCTAGCGTTTCGGAGGCATTTCAAGCTGCAGAAGTTCTGAGTAGATTTGTTCATTCCCATTGTAGTGACGAGATCTTAACGCACAGCATGACTCGTTTGAATAATGTTGTGCGCAACTATTTTTATATATCAAAAACTGCTGCTAAACAATCAAAAATTACAGAGTATTTAGTTAATTGAGAATAAAGAGAATATTATGGTTATTCATATAAAAATCGTAGTCGTCGGATCCCTTGAGCGTCGTTATAGCTGGACTCCACTGTATATACTTGATGGGGTGTACATATGTTATATACGCTCTCAGAAAAACATTATACCCTGATTTCCCATTTTCAATGGGTTCCGGATATAAAAAATGACTGATTATTATTAATCCGATAGTTCTGGTCCCAATACAAACTTGGAAGGCTATAGCGTATTCCGGATATAGCGTCGGCTTAACCGGACTCAACTGCATTTCATTTAAATTGTTTAGAATAATATATTTTACAAATAACTTATTTTTGTATTTATATATCTCAATTGTTTTATTTATTAATTTGTTAATTCATTTATTTTATATTTTAGTTTGTAATATTTTTATACATATTATTTTACCTAATTATAAACTCAACACATTTTTATTTTATTTCTATTGTGTCTGAACACTTCAAAGATTTGTTAAATTTATTTAAATTTGTTATAATTTTTTTTTCCGTTTAAATATTTTTCTTTTAATGATCTAATTACACAATTTCAGACTAGCTTACGTGAAACAATTGATCAGTTCTCAATAAATAACATGCTTGGCTAAAACTTTAAGCTGTTTGATTGAAACATGAAAAAAATAAAATATATGGATTTTCTAATATAATTTCCCTTCATTTACAAATACGCATATATATGATGCATATCTATATATATGTATATATATGGGTGTGTGTGTGTCTGTAGAACACGTAACCAAAAGCTAAAGCTAATCAATCGAGCGAGTTCTGCCCTACGCTATGAACATCCAGTTCGGTGCTTGAGATGCTTGGCGATATGGTTGTTGAATTATTTGAATTGTTGCCGCCGACCAGCACTGCGGACGCCCGATCCAAATTGTAATACTGTACAATGCGAGCGGGCGGGCGGTTCGATATGCATTCCGTGATCTTGCAGACGACCCACTTGGTCAGCTTGATGACGGCCACGTGCGCAGCGAACTGGAGAACGACAGCACCGAAGCCCTTGTAGAGTCCAGCCACACCCTCGGTTAGAATCGTGGTGCGGTAGCAATCGATGGCGCCCTGGTAGTTCGTCAGAATGGGCACCACAGCATAGCCGTTATCCAGATTATCGATGATGGTGCGTGTGCCCTGCAGCTGCAAGCGGTGCAGGATCGTTTCGAAGGGAAAGAACAGCATCTCGGTGGTGAGCATCGATATCAAGTTGGCATAGATCTCGGCGTTTTGATGCTCCAGCGTATCGTCGCGATGCTTGGCACCGCGCTGCTCCTGCTTCATCGTCAGGCGTCGCCGCATGATACGCGACGAAACGCCGCGTATAACCAGGCCAAATAGATATTTGGTAATGCCCATTGTAACGCTGGGTCCAATCAAGGCCCAGGCGGGCAGCATGCGTCCCTTTTGCGGCGAGCTCCAGTAGAAGAGGCGCAAGCTGCCCTCGCGAAAAACATCGAGCAGGCCAGGCTTCTCGCTGGCGATATCACTTTGAACAGTCTCCACCAAGGAGGCGGCATAGAAGGGCACAACCAGGCCAATGCTAATGCTGCAGACAGAATCAGAATTAGGATGAGTTTAGTCCATGATGCGCAGCTCCAAGGACACTTGCCTCTTCAGCAGTAGGTGCTGTCCGAAACGCTTGAGTGTCGTCCGGCTATCCACATCCTTTGGCCAGCTGGTGAACTTGCTAATTACATCATCTATGGCCAGAGTCATGCCGCGCACGAGCAAACAACTGCCCAGGCCCTTCCACAGGGTGGTGACACCTTGGCGCCGGTGCAGATGCATAATGCTCGGCATCAGTTGAAACGGATGCAAGTGATAGCGCTTCGATGCATTATAAACTTGACACTGGCGGCGCAGAACAATAAATGGATGGCTCAATAGATTCTCAGTGACCAGTGAGACCCATTGGACGCCAAAGACTAAATATTTGCGCAGCGACGCCTCTAAAGAAAGCAGGAATTATAATTATATATCATATATACAGGCATGCAAACGTTGTAGCTCACCCTCGTCCTGGCTATCTAAGTATTTGTCCAGCGCCTTGGACTGTTTCTCTATCGAAAGATCTCGATCAGAATTCAAGTATTTTATATGCGATACGGCATGCTGATCCGCATTTATGTTGTCGACAATGGCCTTGTCGCGATCCTCCAAACTATAATGATATTGATATAGATGTGTGTTTATTAAGTTTATAAAGCCCAAGGCACGCGGGTGGGTTACCTGTTAACCAGCTGGATGCCGGGATCGCCTATGAGCTGCGGCATCCTGTCCATCATCTGCTGGTATGACTCTGCTTGTGGATGGATCTGTTCGCCGTAAGCACGATTTGCTGCCGCATGCCTGATTTATCAATAATGTTAGTGTTTTGGCTTCGAGAGATTCGCATTTGCGGAATTCTTACTCACATTTGGTTTGTATAATTGTTGATGCTGCCTGACATAATATTGTGTGTACGTGTGTGTGTGTTTTCCTCTTAGTAAATGTTTAATGTCTCGCCAAGTTCCCTGCTGTCACTGTTACTGCTTCTGGTGCTGCTGCCACTCTACTTACTTTCTGTTTCTTTAGATTTGTAAATACTAAATAACTTCAATTTCCATGTAGCCCGTGTAAGCATTGAAACTAGAGATGGAAGCGTGCACCCAACACCCAACTCGCTAGCGGGCAGCAGACAATCCGTGAGCAAGAAGGAGAAGACTATTTAAATGGAAAACACTTTTTGTTTAATATGAGCATGTCAGAATAATATATATGTAAATATATAATATGTCTGATATATTTGCTACGACTGAAGTATGCTTGACAGATAAGGAGAAATAAACATTATAGGACGGAAAGATGTTATGTTTCAAATCAAGTATCGATATATACACACGCATGCACCACGAACAAAATTGCGTGCAATACTTTTCGTATTTCAATGTCACTAGACGGTGGTTGGCGGCATCAGCTGTTTGGGTCCAAAGTTTTGAATATCGATATGTCCATTCTCGCTTACCACAAATGCCGATGCATGTTATCGAAGGCATGCGTGCTTCGATTTTTAGCGGCATTTAAAACAGCTGTTCTTGCACTTTTTGCATTTCAATTCGTAATTTAAATGTGAAAATGACAAAAGCTATTAAAAGTAGTGGCAGAATTTTTGTAAAAGCTAAAGTCTGTGATCTGGAGCGCACTCTACTAGGCGGTCAAAGCTTTCGGTGCGTATGAAAACCAGTTGAATATGCAATAATTTATAAAAATTGTATTTTAGCTGGCGCAAATTATGTTCAGAGCCGAAAGTCAAATATTGCGGCGTTGCTTTGAATACCTATTGGGAGCTGACGCCCGAAAAGGACCATATTGCCTATGACGCTCACGTTGCAGACAATACTCCAGCAAAAATTAATTTCACTGCCTTGCTGAGCGATTATTTGCGCGCTGATTTCGATTTGGAGTTGCAGCAAAAAAATTGGATGCAGGCAGATGAGAATTTCAAGAAATTTGTTGGCCAACCAGTGCGAATGTTGGCCCAAGAGCCGCTGGAGAACATTATCTGCTTTATGTGCAGCCAAAATAATAATATAAAGCGGTAAGCCTGTCTATTTATACTCAGGTATAGTTTTTGTTGTGAATATTTCTCATACCCTGTAAAATGATTATGATTAGCATTCTAAGCTTTGATTTCTAATATTGAGTTGTTTTGTAGTATTTCATCGATGGTTCAGTGGCTTTGCTCAACTTATGGCAATAAAATTGGGCACTTTAACGGCCAGGATGAGTTCAGCTTTCCCACGCTGAAAGACCTGCAAGGCGGACGCACCTGCAGCCAGCTGGACGCTGAGTTGCGTGCGGCTAAATTTGGCTATCGAGCTAAGTTTATAGCCCGTTCGCTGACGGAGATCGAAAAGCTTGGTGGATTGGATTGGTTTGAGCAATTGCGGCGTATGCCCTATGCGGAGGCACGAGAAGCTTTGGTACAGCTGCCGGGCATTGGCTACAAGGTAGCCGATTGCATATGCCTCATGTCGCTGAATCATCTGCAATCGGTGCCCGTTGATACGCACATCTTTAAGCTGGCCCAGCGGCACTATCTGCCCCACTTGGCCAGCCAGAAGAGCGTCACTAGCAAGATCTATGAAGAGATTGCTCAACACTTTCAGCAGCTGCATGGACAGTACGCGGGCTGGGCGCAAGCGGTAGGCATGGGCTATATATCCACAAAGATATGGATAACCAAGTTGCAGTCGGTCATAACCGACTTGTTATATGCTCGTTCACAATCCAATAACAGCTGAGATGTACATATAAAGAGCTCCAAAACTAGCTCTGAGCAAGTATACTCTATTTTTCATAGTGGACGAGCATAGCCAATATACATATAAATATGATAATGATATATAATATCTCTTTTTTAGGTTCTCTTCTGTGCGGATCTGCCACAATTTCAGCCTAAGCTGGAGCCCAGTGCGGCTAAGAAGCGCAAAAAGTAGTATCCTTTGTACATATTATAGACGTATGTATATAAGCTATAACTATAGCGAAACGTGTTTGTCCTCCAGATATATGTTATTTTAAGCCTAAATCCTCCCTGTGTATAATATAACTTTCGTAGCTTCTAAAATCCTGAGTCGAGATCATTTTGCCAAGTTTTTGGTTAGAAAATTATTAATATGCAAAATGTAATTCCTAGATATGGATCTCTGGAACAGAGCTACCCTCAATACTGCATAAAGCTTGTAAGTAGTGTGCCTCATATTGTTATATAGAGAAGTCATAACCTTTTGTATATAATCATATCTAAAAGTTTATGGCCTTATAGGGAGTATTAAGATTAAAGATATATAATAATTTAGATATTATTTAATGAGTGACAAGATTGAATTGAGTATATAATTTTAGCTTAAGTGTAGTCGTAGGATCAATACGATAAGTTTTCTTCATAATCATTTATGGACTAATATTAAAGCTAGGTTTGTTTGTAAACTTTTGGCAATTAATGATATGGATGATGTTACCTGCGGGGGTGGTAATGAATATTCTTAGTCAGAGCATTTTTTGCCTCACTTAAATGTTTAGCTTTGTGCAACTGAAGCTGAAAATTGAGCTCACATAAAACATTTCAACGTCATCCAACACAAACAAGCTTCAAAAAAGCCCGACAAAACTGCACAGGTTCGCCCACTTTTTCAACGCCCACTCACCTGGCTAAGGTGTGCATGGAGACCGCGCACTCGCAGCCACTGGCATGCGAGCAACTAAAAACCCCAAACAAGCCTGCGAAAGTATTTTGCTAACACTTCGCGAGAGATTAAAAGCAATTTACTTATAAATTTTGCACAACAATTTTATGCTTAACCGAAAAAAGGAGGAAAGTAAAATGAAAGATAGAGCTTTGGCATGCCGTCGCTCGAATACCCTAGACAGTAAAACATATCAAATAAGTATGAGTGCCCTTTCCGGGTGTTCCCGACTAGAAGATACCTTAGACACAGCTGCTGCATACAGTCAACGTGTGATATAAAATGGATTTAAATCGATTTCATGGTCTTAGAAGAGTTATCGAGGAATTGAAATTCATGCGATGTTCTTCTTCTTATACTCTTCTTATTCGTATACTCTTATACTCTTATACTGGTTTACTCCTATACTCATATACCCCTATACTCATATACTCTTATGCTCCTATACTCGTATACTCTTACACGCGTATACTGCTATACTCTTATACTCGTATACTCTTATACTCTTATACTCGTATACTCTTATACTCCTATACTCTTATACTCGTATACTCCTATACTCTTATACTCCTATACTCTTATACTCGTATACTCCTATACTCTTATATTCATATACTCTTATACCCGTACTCTTATACTCGTATACTCCTATACTCTTATATTCATATACTTTTATACTCGTATACTCCTACACTCTTCTACTCTGATAATCTCATGCTTTTGTACTCTTGCGTTCTTATACACGAATACTCTTATAATCTTAGCATACTGTTATACATAATTGTGCAGAGCTGGATTCATTGACACGTCAGTTGATCCTGATCAAGAATTATGGTATTCACCCCATCTACTTCTGTCCGTTAAACCCCTTTTGCAATGGGTTTAACTATCTTCTGCAAGGGTATTTAGACCGACAGACAAATGTAAGCCGTAAATAGTGGCTAACACCAACTGCAATTAGGGATGAGTGCGTGAGTCCGTGCTGTAGCCCATTAGGGATGGGCTGACTGACTATGAAAACAACGAGATCTTTCAGTTCAGCTTTACAATCGGGATCAATCAAACCAAATTTAGGGTTGGATCAGTGATCCACTGATGGCTAAACATTCGATCTTTCCCAGTTAAACCACTGTCGGACGAGCATTAAATGCAGTGGTTATACCCTACTGCTGCACTCTAAATTGCGTACTGTTAGGTTCTTCCTTTTGGGCACTTCACGCAGGCATCTCTAATGCAGCGCCCGTGGTTCGTGGCGTAGTGCTGCTCTCTTTATATGGGTGGGTGAAAATCCGCTTGGTGTCAGCTATAATTTAATTTAGACAACAGACAACCGCAGGCCAGCCAAACTCTCGTATACACACTCACACACACAGACACACACATAACACAGCACAGGTAACTGGACTTGGACGTTGTTGAATGGACGTCATAGTTGGGAACGACTTTTCATAACCTAAATTATTTATTAGACAGTTTAATTTTCAATTCACAAAAAACAGCAGAGCCAATCCGAACAGTGGATGCCTGTATGTGTGTGTGTGTATCTATTAAATAGAATATCAAAGAAGTTGATGTTTGGTGCTTGCTTCATGTTTATTTACTTGTAATTACTGCAATGACTTTGGCTGTTTAATGACTCCAGTAATTATAAGTTAATGTTTGATTGGCTTAATAAATGAGTGAAAGGATGATTCATTGATTCAGTAATTCGCTAGCAATTGACGGGTTGATTTCCTCGTTTATTGCTTGCCTGATTGACTGAGACTGACATAGATCGTCTAATTGATTGACTTATTATGCTGATTATTATCTTAATTACCTAGTTGATGAGATTGATTGAGAACTGATTACTTACTTTACTTATATATTGTTTGCTTTACAAGTGTATTGACTAATTTGATTGATTGACTGACAGACTCCTCTACTGATTAGCTAGAGGGATCATTTATAGTCTAGCTGTTCTTAAGGATAGACGACATAAGTAAACTGACTATTTGTATGACTGACTCTGATTGAACGTCAATCGTACGTCCGATTGACTGTAAATGATTGACTTGCATCGCTGTTGTGAACATCCGCTCATACGCCAAGCAGTCTGTTAGCTGCATTAAGCCCTTGCTCTGGGAAATTGAATTTATAATCTCTTTTGGACCAGGAGTTATGCCAGCTGTGGGGCACAAAAGGCTTGGATACCCTTCAAAGGAAGAGAAGATGTTGAAGAGTTGAACTCTGGCATGAACCTTGGCATTGCCCAAGTGACCGGGTTGTAAACTTTTTCGACAGCCACGCAAATAATGGGCATAAATACGACTCAAAGGCAGCAGGGAGGCAAGCAGCTCAAGATGGAGTTCTGGCCAAGAAGGTGTTGCAGGTTAAACATAAATTACTGCGTCACATGCAACGAGTTTTCGAGGTTGCTCAGCAATAACCGCGTAAAGCGCCAAAAGTTTTGTGTTTGCGAAATTGTGAGAGCGAAATGTTCAAAAGATGCGAAGCTGAAAGAGAAGGAAGAGGCA